TTCGCATATTGGTGGATATATTGCTATCGATGTGTGAACTTTACTTGACCACAGTGATAAACGACGGTGTGTGATGTTGGATAATAACGAATTTTCCACCCTCCTATTAACTTGTTTGACATCGAGAAAGGGTCAGGTAGAGTTGTACAAGTATAGTCGTTGTTCAAACAGACAACGAATCGATGTCTTCTTCCATATTTAAAATGTCGAATCATCAGATTTTACTATCTATTAAAGACTAATTTTCCAAATGAAACAGTAAAGCCATCATTAGGCAGAACAGAACTCTGAACGACTTGAAGGCTCGTTAGCAATGCTCAAATGACGGCCTGGATGCCCTATAAGAAGTCGGTTTCGAACTCGACTTCCGTAGGCGGTGACTCTAATTCCTACAGCGGGAAATCTTTGTCTTTACCACAAATTCAGTTGAGTAAGGAATTTACCAAACGTTACTTCAGAAATAGGTTACTCGGTTGGTAGAGCATCAGAATCAAAACCGAGTGAAGTCCTGGGTTTGAATCCTGATCAGGGTATTCGCCTATCTTTCTTCCGAGATTAATAAATAAGTAGAACACCGATAAACAAGTGGGAAGGGAATAAAACACAGGCAGTACCTGTCAGATAGCTGCTATCAGTTCTATCTTTAAAAATAAGGGACTCCAACTATTAAGTTTATGAAAACATAAGTGCCTGAATGTAACTGTAAGGAAGACCGACATTTCAACGATTACAAACTTTTTATTCTTAATAGATCTCTGATCAATCAGAGCTAGATAATGTCAGCTAGTGACCAAATGGATCTAAAAACGGTCGTTCTATTCTGTCAGAAGAAGCCCAAGCTGTTGGATAAAGACTTCTTTCCACAGAGCAGCAATTCCCTTCTTCGCTATTTTTATTGCTTAATATTTGAAGGAGAAAAGAGCGCTCTGAGACTATACTTTCAGGTACAATTAATGGTAGGAGGCTGAGAAAACGACTAGAAAACAATGTTTTGGGAATTTAACAGACTGGACCTTGGGACAGTTTCTAGAAAAAAAAGCGAAACAGCTTCTTAAATCCCAAGAACGGCCAAAAAGGGCCTGGGGCAAGTGTTTCGATGGTTCAGATGTGAGTTATCATCGCCAAAACTGAAACGCTGACACAGAATCAAGAAAGACTGAGACACCGTCTGACGCGCTTGTCTCCGCGATCCGAAAGAATAAGCGATAATAGAAACTAACTAAACAGTCTGAGCCGGATGATGGACAAATAAAACCTCATCCACATGGCACGGACTAGCAGTAGCGGAAAACTATATCAACCATTTCGGCAACTGTCATGCTGAGAGCACCTTTAACCGGCCTGTCAAGAGAGACTATGACTACCGTAAGAAGGACAAACGTGCTCTCCACCATAGGGACACATATAGGCAAATTAATCAAAATTAGAACTTACCGCGTGGAACCACTTTGGCTAGTTGGTGGAGTCGGTTGAACGCTGCCTGTACTATCGTGCTGTCCCCGCTGTTGCATCAGGTCGCGTTCACTGTCCTCGTTTTCCAAATCTACCGCCTTTTTGTACGTAGGATTGTTCTCAATAAGCCTAGCGATGCGCTGCGCTTCCGCCAATTTAGCCTGATAGTCAGGTGATGCCTCGTCGATATGAAAATCAACACTAAACAGGAAGATTTCAATAAATCACCACCAGATGCATCCTATGCAAAACAGGATATCTACCTGCTGTACTGACTAAGATCTTCCTGGTAATCAGACGTCACACCAAAGTTCTGCTTGTTTTTCTCAAACATCTCTTCGGCTGTCCATCCAACCTAAAAACCACAAGATAGTGACCAATTAATCTTCAGAACTAACAACCAACCAACCGATTCTCGACAATCAAGAATTTGTTCTTCCTCTAGCGAGTCAGGCACCCACGCTTCAAAATGACGCTGCTCTACTGATCCGTTGAAGTTGCTGATTTCACTGTCCGTTACGAAAGAGCCTAAAGTACATTCCATATTTAAAAACAAAATATCAGCCAAGCTTAAAAACGAAGTAATATACAGACAGTAAGTGAAATCAAAACAGAATGAACAAAAAGCTTGAAAATAATAGGCTTATAAGCTCATAAGCTTATTTACCACTGTGGAATAGGACGCTAAAACATACTAAATAATGAAATCGCTTGCAAAGTTTCTCAGCGTACTGACTTGAATTGTAGAGCACATGACAATGTCAACACCTTCGGTTGATAAGGAGTGTAAAAAAGATATAGTTCCCATGGGCCTAAGGTCATACAACAATAGATTATCTCTGATCTAGATTAGAGTCTCGGTTGGTTCAACGGAAGAACTGGATCGCAGGTTCTTCATCCGCCCACAGTTTAAGAGTC